TCTGACAAGAAATTAGTTTTGGTGTTGCCGATCTAATCTTGTGATTGGTCTTCGGAATGGGAGGGATAGCGAGTAGTAAAGGCAGTCGCAGACCGCCGATCAACACAGAAATGTGTGGTTCAGGACAGAGTAGAACTTCTGGTTAGTAAGTATGTGAGCAAGGGAAAGCATCATGCCAGTGAGATGTGTAACGAAAGTAGCTCCAGCTCATGGTAAGTGATTATCGTTTTCATCCAAACAAGCTGAAATGGAATTTTCGACCAATAGAATCGATCCTACAGCTCGCTCATAGTCATTTTCTGATTCTCCGTAGGCGTATACCTCTAGTGTGAAAATTTCATGACTGTATGCCATGAAACTACAAACATAGAGCAATTTTGGTTTTCGCTCTGTGGACATACATACCTACAAACATACATACAGGCGTTTTAACTTGATAAGACCCTTTCCTTTACAGTCAAGGGAATAGAAGTTCTCACTCAGCGCCAATGTTGCCCATTCCGGCGCATTCTATAAGTCTCTCAAAAAAGGAGAATGGAAAAAATTGTAAAAAATGGTATGGAGTGGTATGGAATGGGACGGAATGGGCCATTCCGTCCCATTCCGCTTTTTCCCCCTTGGGTTTAAGTCAACCAGATATTAAATACTGTTATTATAGAGGTTTGACATTAAGTGATCGGGAAATAGAATATTATATGGATAAAATCGACGATTATTTTTATACAACATCATTCTGTTCATTTACAACTGATCGTATGTTAACATTCAGAGGTAACGCAATTATGATTTTATATCCTAATGATAATAGTAAAAATATAGCTAATATATGGAAATGGAGTGAAATACCTGATGAAAAAGAAGCCGTGGTATCTATTGGCTCAAAAATAAAAATTATAAGTGTGCATTATTATGGTTCTAAATGGGAGATTGAAATTCAGTTAATGAATGACGAGAAGGACGATAGAATTAAACATGATCTAGAGACACTCTATCCGGTTGAAACTAATCAGTTTGAAAATGAAGGCAAATGAATGAATACAATGATGAAGTTTTTAAAAAACCAAATGAAGATCATTTGGATGCGTTTCATAAAACTGGTATTCTTGCGCATCGATAACGGTAATCTCGCTATAATGTTAGTGAGTTACTACAATCTAGAATCATCAACTTCATTTTAACGTCTCCGGATTTTCTAATGCGAACTAATATCCGCAGGCTGCGAAAACCTTCTTTTGATACATTCTAAGTCTTCCGAAGGCTTAGTTTTGGCCATTTTTGGACAAAATACTGCGTTCGGACACGTTTTGGTATAAAATTCAGATTTAACACATTGTAAGGCTTCGGGCACTATTTCTGACCCGCGATTCAGGTTCGATGTTTGTCCTTTTAATGCGTTCACACGTATTAGCGGGGCGAAATTGTCTACTTCAGTGCGTTCGAATGCTTTATTGTGAGGCATGAATCTAAATTATGAAAACTTCTTAATACATTAAAAGGACCTGCGGAGGTCCAGAATCTCTTCCTGGGTAGGCTTCCAAAGATCGAGCCCCATGGCAGAATATGTTCAGAAGACCGTTATCTATTATTACATGTGAAAATCAGAAGAGAAAAAAATGTTTTGATGGTCTGTTCGTGTAAAAAGTAATAATTGTAAATTTGCAACAACTTTTACTCTCAATATTAGTTTGGTAATTAAGTTAAACGCTTCATTAGCAATGACATCGAGCAAATGTTGAGCTATTCATGAATATTAGAGCATCCTCTATCCGATGCACCTTTTCTTTTTCTAAAAAAACACTCTTAACGTCTGATTTCCAACTGTGATTGTGACCGGTTCCCGTTTTATATTTTAAATAAGAACTTTGCTGCTAAGCTTCCATTTTCTGCAAAACTAATAATATATTTGGAATCAGCATCAAAACTTGAGTTGGAAAGTAATAACGGTACAGCTGATTGACTGGCAATTTATGAGGTTGGATAAAGCTTCAAATTCTCTACAAGATGAACTAATTTTTAATTGAAAAGGTAAAAGCTTGGAAAAAGGTTGGATCAAAGTTGACTTACATCGTCCCAGCCGTTTTTGCTGTGGTTATAATTGGTATAATTAATAATGGTTATAATTACCCCAGCGGAGTACGTTGACTGGTTATAATTACCTGAAATGGGGTAATTGTAATCAGTTAAGAGCAACGTACTGGAAACTGAACGGCACGAATTAATGGTAATGAATTTTCAGACAATTTTTACATCAGTGCATAGCTGAAAGGCATATGTATCTACCTGTGTAGTCACCATTTTTCTCCGACTAAAAATGGCTTAACCATTCGTAATATACTGAGAAAAAGTTTGTGCCTGGTTATAATTGCCTAAGAGGGAAATTGCTGACTTCATAGACTTGAGCGGACTTTCGGGACTTAAAGTGCAGTAAAGTCTTCGTAAGTCCGGTCAAGTACTCCCAAGCCCGCTCAAGTCTTAAGTCCGTGGTTTCCCCCTTGTAATTACCTCAGCTTACTCTATTACCTATATACAGACAAACTATTATAAAACTAGGAATGGGATGGAAGTTGTAAGCTGCGTAATAAGCGAATGAAAGAACATATCTTATGTCTTTATCGTTTTGATGTTCATCGATTGTTAATAGCAATTAAAAGGGCAGGAAAAGCAATAGAAAATAAAACTTATTTTAACAAAACAAAAGAAACGAAATGATGTTAGTGCTACGAAATGAATTCCTTTTTATTTTATTTTATTCTTCTTGCCGACATGATTTCTAAGAACAACATTACCTGTTCTTCTGTTTCGTTTAGAATAAAATTGACGTGTTTCTTTGTGAACGAAAAATAAAACGAAGTCCGCCATGTTAATTCTCTTATCCACGATACACGTTATTAAACTATAAGCAAATTTTGACATGTTTTTTCATTGAAAAAGATATAAAGGGGGTTACGATGGAATGGATATTTTACCGAAAAGAAGAAAACGAAATATATCCATCTTTTTCGGTGTAGGGTGAGAACCAGAAAAGTACAGTAAGGGATGTTTGTCGCAATTTAGATGAAATATACGATGTCAACATACTCGACTTGAGAAAGAGAGAAACAGGTATGTGGAAAGGTACGTTGCAAAATTATAGAATGAACGGTGACTGCAATGTCTGGCTATACTGCGAGCTTTTCTACAAAATGAAAGTTGGATTGTAACTATCCTTTAGATTTATTTTTGTTTTCCGGTACGTCATCTCAAAGGCGACTGTGACTTTCACGATGAATTTTGACCACAGAACGGGATGTATGTAGGTTTGTAGAGGAAGACTTCCTCTATCCAGTGGTGTATATATTATCAAATTCTGTTGCGTACCGCGAGAGAAAGTTAAAGGTAACCTGTCTCTTTTTAGACCGTTTTAGAAACTTTTTTTAATCTTTGAGTTAAATATTATAAATTATAGAGTAAAATGTCTTCTACAAAATAAGACCACTCCCAGCTCTCCAAGGCCTTCTGTTGAGGAGATACGAATTTTTTAAAATTTGCTGCTTTAACCTGAAAAAACCCGATTTTTTTACTTTTGAAACTTTTTTCTCTTTCATTCAGTGCTTGATAAACTTTTGAAACAGTCAGACTTGTAGAGTAAAGATTTCTCTACAAAATGAAATGTCTTCCGGCTCTTCACCATGTT